ATTGTGGAATGTCATTACTTTAAACAATAAAAAGTTTTATAAATGTCATTACGAATGGTAATCGATGACATCATGATGTGGATGGTATTAATTAGTTATTGACTATATTTGGTAATAAGACACTTAATGACAAAATATTTTTTTGCTGGTTCCAAGGGCTTATTACAGTACTTTAATCTCGTAGAAGGCTGCATTACGATGATACAGACATACCAAAACGAGAATAACTTCACATACGACGTCAAAAAAAAAAAAAAACTTCACATACGACTGGATAGTCCGGACGAGTTGACGGTTACTGGGCTGACCCGCTCGACCCGGAATATTTCATACCGGGTCAGTACCTAGTCCCACCTGGTTCCTCCTACGGTGGTCTCAACGATGGTTTCGGCGTCGGCGATCTCAACACCTCTACGGTGGCTCTCTCCCGTCTCTCCCTCATTCCCGACCTCGACTCGGCCGGCTTAACCCGTCTCAACTCCGAGTCTGCCTTCAAGGCTCAGCTTTCAACTCACCGTGTCCCTTACATCACAAAACCTCTCCCTTTTTGCATCATGACCGATCGGGACCTACGGTTTCCCTCCGTCTAGGTACGGAGTACCCGTGGCTGCACTTTCAAGCCGTGGACCGTTGAACGGTGCCAAATGCCGTCCGTGCACGGTCACGTGCAGCGGCTCGTGCGTGGCGAAACTGATGAGACGGCTGGATAGAGGGTGGAGCTGGACGGAGTGGAAGAACGGGATGTTGGAGCTGTGCGACGCACGTAGGGGATTGGAAAAAGGTTGGGAGAAGATTTTTGACGACGTTGCCGGAGAAAAACTTGCACGTGCGAGGAAACTAGTCGGAGGTTTGGATTTGAGGATATGTGTGGAAGAGTTTGATGAGATGAGAGGAATGACCGTTAAATGGGAAGCTCCCGCGTCCGAACAGATTTGTACGTTGGGCTTAAGGCCTAATTAGAGAACTTAATCGGGTTTTAGAGCATATTAATATATTTAAGCCCATATAAAGAAGCCCATTGTACCTGATACTTCAAACCCGATGATCCTTCTTGCATTGTTGCTTCACGCCTGAGCCAACGACGGATTCAGGAAGAAAAGATGTCTCCGATGATATTCTTAAAGTATCACCAACATTAATTTAGTATTAATTTTATTAGTAATTTAATCTTTGAGACTCGTTAAGATTTTTTTAGTTTTTGTATGTCCAATGGTGATATTCAACGAAGTTCTAAATAATTAAAAAATAATTTATTTTTTATAAAAAAAAATCAAATTATTATATATAAATATACAAAATTCTATAAAAACACTAATTTATTATGTTTCATAAATTTTTAAACGTATATTACAATCCGTAAACAAAAACTGAAACATAAAATCGCTGAAAAAAGTATGAAATATCATTCCCAAATATCATCATATACAAGAACACAACAATCAGCACCTCTATAATCACACATTGTATAATCACACAGCATAACACAAGAACACATTTACCCAGGTTTGGTTGTCTACAATGACGTAATTAAAATGTGAAACTCCGTCTTTAGCAGTCTGAGATGGATAAAAGAAAGGTTGTGTTCTTAATCTACATACACATTATATCAAAAAATTGTTTAATGATCTTCTTACCACACAAAAGGAAGTATCTACACCACTAGATTCTAGCTCATCTTCTAAAGTTCAGTAGCATATATCTATGTTTGCTCTTAAGATTCAACTCTTAAATGAGGAAAATCAAGATTGCAAACCAATATCAATAGCATAGTTCTCTAAAGAAATCTGAAGCATAGATTAGGGGAAACAAAAACCAACCTGTCTTGCTTCAGTCATCAAAGCGGTAAAGTTTTGTTTTTCGAACTCGAGATCATTTGAAATGCTAACCTTAGTAACACCTTCAAGAATCTCTTTAGATTTCAGAAGCCTTGCACCTACTGCAGCAACCCAACAACACAAAAGCACATACAAAGGCTCCCCTGCCTACCAAACAAAGCAACAAAGAGCCACTTCAATAAACTAATCACACATTAACAGCAAACAAAGACACTGAAAATCAATGGTACACAACAATTCAATCATAAAGTTCCTTCTAAAACACAGGATAAGTGGCTCTTTGTCTTGTAAACATGTCCCCTGACAAGTGACAAATCATATTGTTGCAAGAGAATTTAATCCCTCCAAACAAATAACCAGTGGCAAATGCAGCAACTTAGACTACGTCTAGTTTAGCCGAAGTTTTTTAAGCCTATCTTAGACCAATCTTGTTCTAACTATGAGGCCAAAAAGTTCCTCTGTTTCTAAAGTAGACGCAGATTCAAGTTCATACACGGACATGCAAAGATGTTACTAAGCGTGAGAATTAACAGTCAGAAGTCAATAAGGGACAACTAATTCAGCATCTTAATCAAATCAAAAGCCTACAGCTTTCATCAGTTTATCAACATATCAAGATACAATACACTTTGAGTTGATGCAAATTCTCTGCATCCTCGCAGATCTTATACTTAGGATCCCCAACAATCACTTGGATTTTCACATCCACCTAAGAGTAAATCATCACAACTTGATCATGAATCAACATACACTTATATTGATCACACATAAGTAATTGCACTAGATTCTAATCCATCAGTGAAAAGAAGCTAGACTCTAATCAATCAAATATAAGAAACTCGCTACTAGATCTCGATTATGAGGCAATAATCCCATTCCCTGAGGAGAAATGAACAAACGACTTACAGATTTATCAGCACAAATTTGACGAGCGTGATCGAGGATAGTATCGGTGTTTCGCTTCTGATGTTGCTCAATTGCAGCAGTGAAAGCAGGAACCTCAGGACGACCTTCCTTGCAATATCTTAACAGAGTCAATTCAACTTCGCCGTCGCCATTTTCGAAATTGAATATTTAATTATTTTATCTACGTAACAAAATAAGAAAACGGAAAAGAAATGATACCAATTCCTTTCGTAACGTAATCAACATGCTATTCATACTTGTATACAAGAAATAAATAAAGTTGGAAAAGGGAAAAACCTCCAAACAAAACCGATCCCATGCTTAATGTTTCACGTTCGACAACCCTAACCCTAAGCAGGTTATTTTAAAAGAGATTAAAATTTTAAGATTCTTTGCTATTGGTTTCTATATGGATTCTTAAGTTTTTGTAAAGTTTCATTCAAAGTTATTTGTTATTCAATTTTTTTACTAATGATTGATTTTGTGATTCTATTAAAATCTATTGTTATTAGGGCATAGAATTCTGACAATCTTATTTAATAAAGAAATTTTTAAAAATATTATGAATATCCCTTGAATTCTTAAAATCTTTATAATTAGACTTTTTAAATACCCAAAACTCTCAACAAGTTTATTAACAAAATTAATACTTTTGAAATCAATCTACTCTATATAAATTCAACTCCCACTACAAATATTTCCATCCCATTACTCTTTCAAACTCTAAAATGGAGTAAAATAAAAGAACTCTAGTTTTGGATTGAAAAACAAATGAATATAATAGATTGAAAATGTTCTACTAAACTAGCGCCTTTTCCACAATCAGTTTCCTAAGTTTTGAAAGAAAGGAAAACATTATATATCGGCAAATATGAATCGCTTGTGGATAATGGACTTTGGTTGTTTCTCAGATCAATTACGTCACCGGCGAAGATCCGCGCTCATGTCCGTTACCAGAAGAATCTTCGACATCAATCATTGT